GGACATGTATTTGTCCGAGATTGAATGTGCCCTAAGAACTTCGGTACATACTGCCACAGGTGTTACGCCGTTTTTCGCTTTATTTGGGTATCACATGTTTAGCAATGGGGCGGATTACAAATTAAGTAGGAAACTTAAGTCGCTAACGGACCATGAAATAGTGCAAATGAATGTTAATGATAGAATGCAATTGATCAGGGAAAAGATGCAGCAGAATATGGCTAAGGCCTATGAGAGAAGCGCCGAGAGATACAACAGGGGAGCGAGAATTGTAAAGTTTATCCCAGGGCAAGAGGTATATCGACGTAACAATATTTTGAGCAACTTTGGGAAGAACATAAACTCAAAATTCTGTAGGAAATTTTTAAAATGTAGAGTGGTAAAGGCTATCGGGAATAACATGTATGAACTGGAGACACTCCAGGGAAAATCACTGGGTGTGTATCATTCAAAAGATATCAAAATATAGCCGAAAAACAGAATAGTGCAATGATTAAACTTTTATAACTTCTAGTACTAGTGTGAACTTGGCCTATTTATGTATTGTACTACAATCTATGTTAAGAAAATCTAACTTACCAGAATTATGCGGCAAATAAAGTTTTGGTTGTTCTTATGATGTGGTGCAGTCCCATTTTTTTTGTTAATATGATTCCACATGATGCCAAATCAAATTTTAGACTGTAACGATAGTTATGAAAAGGATTAAACAAAGTAAAAACTTATGTAATTAGTAATATATATATACTTCCCGTAGTCAATTTTCGGATAATGTATTCGTTATCTTCAATAACATTTCATAATGAAAGTTAATGGAAGTTTCAACATGTGTATAGGTGAAGTTCGCGACGTTAACAGGAATGATAGGGGTGTTTCCAAGTTAAGTTGCACAGATTCTACCAGTAGTTATTAAATAATTGACGATCCAATATGATGGTGAATGTATATAGTATGTAAGGATAATTGTTTTTAATAGGCTTTGCAAAAGCATTCGTTTATTTTGCGCCAAAGGTGCTACAGTTGGTCAAGAACCAATTACAAGAATTAGAATTTATTTGTTTGCGAGAATCTGTAGCAATGTTGGGGAGCCACTATGCATTTTCCTTGTGAAAAAAGCAATAGTAGGCGGTTTTTTATCTTTATGCATGTTATATATTATCCGAAGGCAATCGATTGATGTATGGAAAAATCCTAGTGGATAAATAGAAAAATAACTGAGTGCAATATTGAGATTTTTCCAGGACTGTGATATTTTTATATAGTGCAATATTAGAATAGAATTAATTATTTATTTATTTTTATTATATTTTAAATTTTGTATGTTTTGTCCTAATATTGTATTAGATGTATTTATATTACGGTTTTGTGGTGAAATCCACTAAGCACTAGTTATGACTTCTACGTTTTTGTTTTGTTTACTTCTTCTATAGGGAAAGATTAACCAATTTAAGTGCAATAATATTTTTATCTGTGATATAGTTTTTTTTTAAGTGCAATATTAGGTTAAGAAAACAATTAAATTATTAATAAAAGTATACGGTATACATGTTTTCGTCCTAATATTGACACTTTTCTATGTCTTTGATTTAATATTGTTTAACACTTAATTGAGTTAAATCATTTGAGCACCTGAATGTTCTTGAACGTTCCCATAGTTAGTTTTTTTTTATTGCATTATTTTACCTGATATTAGTTAATTTATTGTGATGTCAGTAGGGATTGTGATACCCAAATTGCCACCATTGGATATAGTCAAGTGTTAATGCCCGGCTGATAGAATCTCAGGGTGTGGGAGTTCCCCACGTTGGTCATGCTGAAACTTAGCCGCACACCGCTCCCTCTGACTATCATCAGCGGCATCGGAGTTTTGTTGCGGGTGTATTTTCGTTTTTTATGTGAACCTCGTTGTTTTTAAAACGCTGAGTTGTTTTCTGTATGAACATGCCTTTATTTTTGTTTAGTTCTTTGGGTTTGTTGTTTGTGGTTTTTTTTTTTTTGTATTTGTTAGTTTTTTTTAGGCAGCATTGTTTCTTTTCTTTATGGTTTTGTAGGGTCCGGTCCAGGTAATGATGGCCCAGTGGTAGGAGTTCTTTTTGTTTTGTTGAATTTCATTTTGTTTTTTTTTGATTGTTTATTTTATTATTTTCACATAGATTTTTTGTTTATGTTTGCTCAGTTTATTGTGTGGTTTAAGGTCAGCTGTTCATTACTGGAAGTCCATTATGAAAAATGAGCTTTTGCATGCAGAGTTGTATGAAAAGAGTAGAAACAAGGTTGATTTTTATAGGTAGATTTGTAGTTTATCCGAAGGAAGAGAAAAGTTAAACGATTTTTCTCTGCGAAATTTCTTGTAATGAGTTCAAGGCCATAGGAAATAAGTTAATGACCCGATGTAATCGTGAGAATTGCTTGTATGGTAATGTTATTTTTCGGTACTTGTTTTTTATGTACTAGTTTTGTTGTTTTGTAACAACTAAACGTTTTTATTTTATGTTACACGAAACATTTTTTGAAACATTAAGATCACTAAAATGGAAAACCTCAAGCTGTGAAGTATTAAGTGAACGTTACTAAGTTAAAAGCTTAAATACTTGAATTTTTTAAATTATTAAATTTTAAATTAAAAACTATTGTGAAATAATTGAAGTGATTTAATACTTATTATTATATTTATTTTATGATTTGAGACTAGAAAATTAGAGAAGAAAGTAAGTTTTGATTATACAAAGTTACGAAAGTGTTTCAATCCTGATTAATGTGGAAAGTTTTATAGAAATCCCTTTTTGCCCAGAGGAATCATATGATAAATTGCTTAAGTAAGAGTTTGAAGTGCAATTAATTGGAAAAGCTACAACACACTTTTGCGAAGTTGGAATAGGAGTCACAGAAGAACTAACGTAAGCCATTTCAGGTCAAAACAAATTGAAGAAAAAAGGTAACGAAAAGTATTTTTTTTATATAATTAACAGTGCATGTTTAAAAGTGGCATCCTAAAAGTAAAATTAAAACTTTGGTTTGGCAATAATGGAAAGCTCTATCTAAAGCTCTTTATACAGTCCTCAATTTAAGCTCACAATTAAGAGTCTAGGGTAAAAAGGGTAGCAAATTCTCAAACCCATGTTGAAAGCTTATTAATATTGAAAAACTAAAGACCCAATGGGAAATCTGATGAATATAACTGTTCTCAGTAGTGTTTAAGTTCTCAGTAGTGTTTAAGTTAGTGATTAGTTTTAAGTGTATTTAAATAACGTTTATTGTAATTTAAGTTTTTTTTTGTTTGTGAAATCGAATCATTGTGAGAGGGATCGTTAGATGTAATTTCAAATACGAGAAATCAGAAAATTAGAAAAAGTGTCTAATATTGTTTAAAATCGAGAAGTACCTCAGAGAGCTCTTTTAGGGAAAATTATTTCTTTTGTTGCATATCGGTCAGGCAGAAGATTTTGAGAGGCCTGTTTTTGTGTAATATCTGTACGATCCTATCGTAAGTTTAAGTGTCTAATTTTTTTTTTGTATGTTTATATATGTATTTATTTAGTTTGTGTTTTATGGTTTAATTTTTTTTAGTTATAAGTTTTAGTATATGATTTTTGTTTATAGAAAGTGGCAAGAATCATTTTAGGGCAATTTGTATTTATAAGAATGATTTAATAAAAAAAAAAAATGCCAAGAAAATATATGTATTACATGAATTAGAATTTTAAGAATTTGTTCAGTTATTTTTTGTTGAATAAGATAGGTTTAGCTTCAAATATGTTTTAATAAATATTATATATAACAGTAATGAATAAAATTGAGTAAATACGTTATTGGGATTATTGAATGATAGGACGTGATGGACGGATTATGGGGTCCGTAAGAGAATGGTAAGGGATGTAATACGGCCATGGTTGGGATTGGGCGATTGGAGAATATCACCTTTCTCCCTATGTGTGTGTTTCGCTCTGTGTATGTTGAATACGTGTTTGATTTGCTGTTCAATTTTAAGTTATTTTGTGGCGGACCTTGGTCTTCAAAAGGGTTGAGAATCACACCCCGAGGTGATGCCGCGTGAGCTAGTAGGGTGGTGGAATCCAGAGGCCAACAGCAGGTTCGTAACAAATGTCACTGTAATATTTGATCAAAGGAGAAGCTGACAAAACGAACGACGAAAGGGAAAGTCAGGGACGACGTTAAGACTGTAAGGCAATGGGTAGGTAGATATTTTGAAGGATTATGAAGTACTTGGTTGGGAAAAGACTTCATTGGTGCAACTTGTGCCACTCAGAAGTTTGGGCAGATGACGCTGTTTGCCTATGAATGGGTCATTATGTTACTGTAATAACTGCTCAAAGTCAAAAGGCAGAGACTTCCTCTTACTAATGAACCATTTGAAGAAACAATGAAAACGAAACGACGAAAGGTTAAACACAACGGTTTGTGGAACTGCGAGGGATCCAAGGGGCATGAAACAAAGGGGATATGACTTTGAATAACAGTTCAGAAAAAACACTTTCCAAAGGACTATGATGTGGACGAGTTTCTGTTATTGTTAAAAGACGCCTTTGGTGAAAGATATGTTACTCAGAAAACTTGTGAATCTGCACAAAGTCGAAAACCATACTCCTACTCAAGAGGCCAAGGGGACTTAAAGTAGTTGATCATTATAAGGTTGTTAAAATGGCGTTAAACAAGTTAAACTTATTAGGCAGAGTTGAGCTTCTTCCATGTGATGCTTCTAAAGCTGACAGAACGAATGAGGATAGTGCGAAGAACGACGCCTGGAATTTTCTGTTTTTTTCTGTCTAAGATGAAGCAGATAGTTTCAGAGTCGTTCTATCAAGAAGCACAGACAGAATATGGCAAATATTCGATAAGATCAATGGTCCTGTTAGTGGCATCTTGAGTTGGTCCTCTTCTGAAGAGCAGCAAGTAATTGCTATCGTTTTCTTATATCCTATTTATTAGCTTTTGTTTAGAATTAGTTATTTTTTCCTAAATATCTCTTTATATTTATGTTTTTTTAGACTCTCACCCACTTAAAACTTGTGACTCATATTTTATGCGCCATTTTGATTGGCCTGCTGTTCGGCGATTCCGGTTCTAATGCCAATAAACAATTCTCTAATTTTGGTTCCTTTCTGGTGCATACGTTGTATCTCTGGTATACCACCATAATGCCTGGTATTTTGAGATGTAAGTTAATGCCACAAATTGTTCAAAGTATTATTATTAATTTGTATATTGGTTTTAGTTCCTCAAGAAATTTCCATAATTAAAAAGGAATCATTTAATAACTGGTATAAATTGAAAACATTCTATTTGGCCACCTTAATAACCTCAACACCGGTGCATGTAAGTTTTTTTTTTTGGAGGAATTTATTAAGCAATGATATAGAATTTAAATTTTGTATTAATTTTGAATAGATATTATTTTCGAGCATATATATAACCATAACATACCTAATGACCGATCAACCGTTAGAATTTGAACGTTATGTTAAAATGATATTGACCGGCATGATGATAACAATATGTGCTGATGGTATGGGTGTATTATTGGGTACAATATTAAATCCAGTGGTAAGTATTTCGTTAAAAACGATTATATATTAAAAGAAGATTTATTAATTTTTAATTTTTTATACCAATTACAGAATGGCACTTTTGTGGGAGCAATTTTTACTTGTTTCACTTTAATCTATTCGGGTTTCTTGATACTTCTTACGCACATGTCCGATTTTATGAGACTCATTTCGTATACATCGCCCATACGTTACAGTTTGGAAAATATGATTTTGGCCATGTATTCAAATAATCGTGCCGATACCATATGTCCCGATAATGTCTTATATTGTCATTTTAAGTAAGTTTTGTGAAAATTTTAATAATTTTTCATAATTTTACTTTAATCATTTTCTCACTTTTTAGGAATGCAGCAACTGTTTTGAAAAGTTTTGGCATGGAAAATGGTAATTTTACTATGAATTTATCCATATTGGTGGTACAACTGGTGATCTATAAATGTTGTGCCTATTTCACACTCAAACGTCAAGTTAAAAGTCAATAACCGCAACAACAGTCTTTAGTTTGAGTTTTGAAAAAAAAACTAAAAAAAAAAAACAAAAACAACGGCTGTTTTGGAATATGAATTTTACAAATTAGTATTAAATAGTTTTAGTTACTTATATTAAAAATAATATACATATATAATCATTTGTTTAATTTAGCATAGCATTAATCAACTAGTTATAGAGCAATTAGAGAAGAAAAGTGCTTTAATTAAGTGCCTAATTAAATTAAGCCTTCAATATGTATATTATGTACATACTAAATTATGTTAACTATATAAAAAAAGTCAATAAGTTCAAACAAAAACAATATGTTAAACAACTAATTGCCAAGATCTTAACAAGATCCTTTGAAACAACCCTTTCCCCCATATCTTTTTTACAGCTATTAATTTAACAGGTGTTTTTCTCTTCACTCCTTAAAACAGAGTTTAGTAACGTCTAGTTTTTTTTAATCTAATACATATGAGTTTCAAATCTCAATTTTTTAACTCTTTAGTACAAGGTTTATTTAAAAGTTTTTTTTTTATATATTATTATCTATTTTTAAGTTACTTTATTGAAATAATAATGGTGTGATAATGTTTTAAGTTATATCTATCTATTTAATATCAGTTTTTATTGTACTTATGAAGTAAAACAAAACAAAAAAAGAAAATATTGAACAAATCGAATAAATTATATTTATAAACAAATTTATAAAAAGCAACATTTTATTAAAAAAGTTTCAAAATAAATACAATAAACAGTTTAAGAATAATTTCTTAAATATTATGACATTTTTCAATGAGAATGTTTTGGGAAAAAAGTCAGATTCGTTTTATACTATTTACTACAAAATCCATTGCAATTCTGACCAATTAGGGTTTAAATAAATTTAAATTGAATACCCTCATATGTTGAAGAACCTGTTTTAGACCGTACTCAATATTCCAATTCTATCTATCTATCTATCTATCTATCTATCTATCTATCTATCTATCTATCTATCTATCTATCTATCTATCTATCTATCTATCTATCTATCTATCTATCTATCTATCTATCTATCTATCTATCTATCTATCTATCTATCTATCTATCTATCTATCTATCTATCTATCTATCTATCTATCTATCTATCTATCTATCTATCTATCTATCTATCTATCTATCTATCTATCTATCTATCTATCTATCTATCTATCTATCTATCTATCTATCTATCTATCTATCTATCTATCTATCTATCTATCTATCTATCTATCTATCTATCTATCTATCTATCTATCTATCTATCTACTATCTATCTATCTATCTATCTATCTATCTATCTATCTATCTATCTATCTATCTATCTATCTATCTATCTATCTATCTATCTATCTATCTATCTATCTATCTATCTATCTATCTATCTATCTATCTATCTATCTATCTATCTATCTATCTATCTATCTATCTATCTATC